CCACGTGTATGTATGATTCAATGAATGTGTCGTAGCTATAAATTGCACGACGAACCTTTCAAGCACACATGCTTCATCTCTCATTCTGTATGTGTTTTTTTTTCTCGATTCCGTTGTTGACAAAAATAAAAACAAAGAAACTCTTCAGAATAAAAAAAAAAACACAAAATGTGTGTTCATTGCGAGGCAAGCAATGAGCAATATCAGTCAGTGTGTCTCCCCTTCTTTAATCCCCGATTGTGAGTTGAAATAATGATTTGAAATTAAGCGCAGACAGGGAATATAGCGAGAAAAAAAAATCGTTTCCTTCAAATGCATTAAGTGAAGCATATGGTTGCACATTGCTCACTCATTCCCGTTCCCCGTTCCTAGTTCCCTGTTTCTCTTCGGTGTTGCTCACACTTGCATTGCGCCTTTAACGCACAATAAGAGGACGAGAACGAGCGCAAATGAGCAAACACAACAGACACTTCTTGTAATCGGATCCGCATGCACTTCACTCGTTAAATAATAAACGCAACAACGACGTTGAACAAATCTCTTTCGCTCAAGACTAAAACATCGATGTTGAGTTGAGATGAAAAAAAAATAGAGAATTGAACCCCATTTTTTGTTGCACGTTTTTATCTCTTCAAAAAAAAAATGCTCAATTTCGAAAGATGCACCCAAACGCAATAATGAAAAATGCATGTGACTGTTCTTCGTCGGATTCAATGGAATTGCACGCGCGTCCTTAAACGATATGAATGAACAGCTCTTGAATATAGAAGAAACGAACCCGGTCTATACCGTTGCAAATGAATCTTGCATCGGCACATTCTTTCACATATAATTTTACGTTTTTTTTCGTGAACAACGATTTTCACGTCACACAGAAAAAGTACGTGATTTCTGGTGTGGTTTTCAATGAACGACTCCTTTCTCCCTTGGAATCGAGCATCAATTCATACGTGCATTTAAATGGCGAGAGCAAAAGAAAACGGGATGATGTAGATATGAATGTGGAGATAGAGAAAAATGATGGGAAATTTTTGAATAGAAGAATGGTTTCATTAAATCGCTAGCCAAACAATTTAAAAGCTTTTGAATTTGCTTATTTATACAGTGCTGTCGCATACACACACACATTGGCACCAAAAACTGAAACAACATCATTATTTCATCCACTGTTCGGATTTTGGGTGTTTTATTTCTCTTTACATCGCATTGAAATAATTTTACCGCATCAAGTACGACGAAAAAAGAGCGAGCAATACTATTAAAACAATAATAATTGCCAACAACTCGATAATAAATATAAATGAGCGTGTACAAATATATTGTGGATATTTTCTTATGTTATGTGATTTTGAGGGTCTTCACGCGATTTGATGCGACATCTGAGACACATAACTGGTGATTTGGCACTGCAAACTCCCGTCCTTTCGTTCACATTTCTCTCGATTTCGTTTGCCTTTTGCGCGAATCTTTTACCATTCCAAAATAGATAATATTAATTCTACTTGAATGAATCTTGTTCCACTGTTCCGTTTCTCTTTTGCCATTCTACCATTTTCCGTTCTGATATTATCAATGAATGGTTATTGCTTTTGGAAAAGAATATCGAACAATGCTATCTTCTATAGGCTTTTGCAACCGAATTCGAAATAATGATGGCAGTAAAACTGACAACTTTTCTCTTTTATTAATCACTTTGATGAGAGTTTTTATGGAGTGCTGTTTGTTCGATGCTCTCTCTCTCTCTCCCTCTCCCTCTCCTATTCGCTTATCAAAATCGGACAGCAATTTTGCAATGTGGAAGCATTTTAGATGGGAAAATATTCCTAATTTTAATGCCATAAACTTGCCTGACTCACAAATTTACATGTTTATCATGTTAATTGTCATTTCCTGTTCTTCATTTCACCGTTCGATCTGGGAGAAAAAAGTACGTGAACTAAATCCAGTAGAGTACTACCTACTAGGTAGTAAATATATATGGTTTGAGTGAAGAATGCCAGTTGAAATTTTCATTAAAATCAATTTAGATTGTTATATGTATGTTTTGAGTTGGTTAGATGCAAACGGTAGGGCCAAGCATAGCATAGTAACATGATGCTCATGCACATATTGGTCTGAAGTAAATGCGTGCTCAATTAATTAACAAAAGGGCAAATTATATTAACCACAAAACTTCGTTATCATCAAGGGTGATTGTGCCTTTTGTGTGAGCATGTTCGCTGTGTGGACATGTGCGTGCTTGAGTGTGGGCTGGTTTTTATCTCTTCCTGTCTAAGGTTGGCCACTAACGCGAAATTCAGTGCATCCATTGCTGCATCGAATGAATGGTTTCACATACGAAATTCCGGGCAAACATTCGGTGAATCGGTGCCGATGTAATGAAATGGCCAAAGACTTGTCTTCAATTTGAAACGTTGAATAGATGCGCCTGCCAATTGATGAGCCATCGCTGAAGAGTTTATCGATGTTTTTGTGCTGCTGTGTTGGCTATTTTTATTTCACTCACTCCCTCTCTCTCCCTCTCTCTCTCTCTCTCTCTCTCTCTCTCTCTCTTTCTCGGTTTTCCCGATCATGCAGCCGTCGTCGTTTGTGTGGCACCCATTTTGCCTGTATATCGGTTGGTTCCGTTGGTTCGTTGCACGCGCATTTGAGACAAAATAATTGAATTTCAAGTTTACCGCTAGTCAAATGTGCATTTCATCAACGAGGATGCGTTTCGTCTAAATTGGAAGCATTTTATTCTATGTGTACGACGAGTCGACTCCAGTTCAACACGCCCTTTTATTTAGCATTTATTATTTCGAAAGTTCGACATCATGCATTTTGCAAGCCCTTGCCTCATTGAAAATGCGTTTTTCCATTCGGAACATCTCGGTGTTGGAGGATCGGGAGCGAGGGGAGACACAAATCGAATGGATACTGTTGTTGGTAGCGTCATCGTTGTTGCCTCTGAGCATACACTGAGTTCGCAGTTCACTGTTCACTTGGCTATGCGTCCATTTAGCAATTTGATTCCATTGTCGAGGATTAAATTTCTCTGTGTTTTCATTGTCAGTATCACATTTGAAGTGTATACATTCGTTGAATCGTTTATCCACATTAGAGACTCACAGTCTCTCAAACATCACTCTATCTCTCATAAATGTATATACATATATATCTCTTTGCTCTAGCGGTAGATGTGTCTCGTAAATTGCTTTATCAGCGAGTCGCTTTCGTATTTCATTTCAATTTTACAATTTTCCCATTTTATATTGATTTTCAATGTAAAACATCGCCAAGCATTTTATAGAAAGAGAAAGAGATGGAGAAAAAGAGAGAGAGAGAGAGAGAGAGAGAGAGAGAGAGAGAGAGAGAGAGA